ATCCATCCATCCATCCATCCATCCATCCATCCATCCATCCATCCATCATCTTCCACTTGTTCCAAAGTTGGGTCAGTGTGCAGCTTGAGAAGACATATCTTTTCTCAGCCACCTCTTTCAGCTCTTCTGGGAGGATTCCAAGGCATTCCCAGGCAAACTGAGACATATTGTCTCTCCAGTACTTCCTGAGTCTTCTCCAGGGTCTCCTCTCAGTCAGACATGCCCAAAGTACCTCCCTAGGGCGGTACCAAGGGAGGATCCTTATAAGATGCCCAAATCACCTCAACTGGCTCCTCTCGATGTGAATGAGCAGTTCTACTCCAAGGATCTCCTGGATAATTTAAAGATGAACTTCTCACCATATCTCTAAGGAAGAGTCAAGCTTTCTTGCAGAGAAATCTCATTTCAACCTTCTCTATCCGCAATCCCATTCTTTTGGTCACTACCCAGAGTTTGTGGCCATAGGTGAGGGTAGGATCATAGTTCGACTAGTAAACAGATAGCTTTACTGTACAGCTCAGCTTCCTCTTTACCACAATGGACCAGCACAGTGTCTGCAATACTGCAGATGCCACACTAATCTGTTTGTCAATCTCATGCTCCATTCTTCCCTCAATTGTGAACAAAACCCCAAGATACTTGAATTCCTTCACTTGAGGCAGAACCTCCCTCACCCTCGACCCGAAGAGAGAAATCCACTCTTTAGTGACTAAGGAGCATGGCCTCAAATTTTGAGGTGCTGATTCTCATCCTAGCAGCGTCATGTTTGGCTGTGAATTGCTCCAGTGAGAGCTAAAAATCATGGCACGATGACGCCAACAGGACCACATCATACGAAACAAGCAGAGATGGAATCCTCAGGCCACTGAATTGGACTAGCTCTGACTTCTGGCTGCAAAGAGAAATTCTGTCCATAAAAGTTATGAACAGAATCAGAAACAACAGGTAGTCCTGGCAGAGTCCAAATCCCACCCTGAAGGGATCTGACTTACTGCCGGCAATGCAAACAAAAGTCTTGCTCTGCTTGTATAGGGACCGAACAGCCCGTAGTAAAGGGTCCCCAACCCCATAAACTTGAGTACCCAGAGAAAATGCATGCATGCACGGAGAGAACGTGCAAACTCCACCCAGAAATGTCCCAGGCCAGATCCACCAACTGGCGCTGTAACACTGCTATAAAACTCCACCAAAAACAGGAAACAAGACGTGAAGCATCTAGTAGGAGGTGGGAGTATAACATCATTGTCTTCAAAAGGCTGTGTTTTGGCTGTCTACAGAAAAACTCAAAGGTGACATTTCAGACTTTTTCATCATGGAACTTTGTTTTTTTATTTTATTTTATTTTTTCTTTTGGAGGTTCTCGAAACACTATGTTTTGTGTGGATGGAACGTTGAAAATATTTTTTTTTTACTACTGCATAAAAGTGTCCCTCTGTGTACATCTCTATAGTGTTCAATTCTAACTAAAGAATGAGTGACACTGAAAACTGAAAATGTGTTTATTCTGTATGTGTCATGTAGCACAATATAGATAATTTGAAATAAATGTGTATATGAATTGTGAGAATAGTCGACACTTCCTCTCTGTGATAACACTCTGTATGTGTTGTGTAATAGATGCACGCATGTTTTATTTATTTTAGTTTTATTTATTTTCAAAAGTTTCTATGTTTTCTGGTGTTGTAAAGCTTCATTTGATAGAACACAGAAGTTTTTGGAAGTTGAACTACAATTGAGTTGAGTACAAGTAGTGTAATTGAGTACACTATTAGTTGAACTACACTTAACTATTTTGGGGTCCGAGATGGGGTAGAGTAGGATAGCTGACTTGGGACCAGAAAGTCGCGGTTCGACTCCCAGCTATCCCCACATGTCGTGGTGTCCCTGAGCAAAACACCCAATACCGGGTGCTTACATAGCTGCTCACTGCTCCACGTGAGTGTATCTCACGTGTGATGGGTTAAATGCAGAGAACTAATTTCGCCATTGTATGCAAACATACAATGATCACAATCTCAAACTTCCCTTCCCTTCGTTCCACACGTATATCGCAAATGCTTGTCATACAGGTACAGGGCTTTCAGAGGCAAGTACAAAACATATTGAGATGTAAAAACAAAAAAGTTTGCTTGAGGACAATAAAGAACCTCTTACATTATTTTTGATGTCCTGTAAACTAATTAAATGTGATTTCCACATAATGCTTTATGTGTCGTATCTCGCTTCCGCAGTACTTCCAGTATTGTGGAGAACACAGCAGGAGGTTTTCCAGTACAGAGAAAACCTCCTGCTGTGTTCCGCATGTGCGAACAGGAAACTGTAGACAAAGCCAGCATTTGATTCTGCAAAACATTCTCTGATAGATTCAAGGCAGCCCATATGTGTCGGTCTGTTGTTCTTGTCCCATGCAGAGTGAAGCATTTTGGGTAAGCAATCAAAGCACACGGCGTTGTATACATGTCTCGTGAGCCATTTGGAAAGTGTGAAAATAAAAAATAAAAATTCTTCTCAGTGAGCAACAACAGGTTCAGTGTTTGTTTGCAGTCTGAATGGACATGAAGCTTTTCAAAAATAAAACAGAAATGTGGGAAAATACAAACAAATAAACAAAAACAAGAAAAATGTGCTTCAGCCAAAAACAAACTGATTTAAAGAAACAGTGTTGATTGAAGTCATCTTATTTTGTGACTTATAAGTTGTATGTAAATGTAAGATGTAGCGCCCATCAGCATCAAAAGCCTGCTCCTGTATGAGCGTGTTCGTTTGCCTGTGTGTTGGCAAAATAGCTCCTGAAGCACTGGACGGGTCAGTGAAACTCTTGGACACTACCAGACATTGGACATTCATTCATTCAACTTTTATTTATACAGGTTTGTCTCATTGAGCCTCGAGGACTCATTTACAAGAAGGGCCTGTTTTAAGCAAAGAATGATGACAACAGTAAACAATCATATAAAAAGCATATACATTGAAAATAAATGGAATAAAATGATATTAAAAAAGCCAAAGCAAAAACAGCTACATTACATAGCAATGCAAATTACTAAAAAACAGGAACAGTCTGCATTGGTTTTTGCCATGAACTTAGCAGATGTTTAAAGCCACTTAGAGAGGTCAAGGTTGAGAGCTTCAGATCTTTTTGTAAGATATTCCAGGAAACAGGAGCGGAACAGGAGAAGGCCCTTTTGCCAAGTTCAGTTCGCACTGAGGGAACACTGCATGTAATAATGTCCTGAGAGCGCACGCTGTAGCTGCACTTACACAGAGACATGAAGGAGGAGATGTATGAAGGCAACAGACCAAGAAGTGATTTAAAGATGAAAATGTACCAGTGGGAGAGTCTGTGTGAAGTTAATGATGTCCAGTTGACCAGTGAATACAGGGTGCAGTGGTGGGTACAAATTCAAATTCAAAAATACTTTATTAATCCCAGAGGAAAATTATATGTTGTGGTAACTCATCATCCTGGTTTCATTAAAGAGTTGTTCTAGATGCTGATGGCTGTGGGCAGGAAGGATCTCTTGTAGCGGTCTGTCCTACAACAGATTTGAAGAAGCATCTGACTGAAGACACTTTTTTGTTGTATGACAGTGTGATGAAGAGGATGCTGAGGGTTGTCTATAATGTTCTTCATACGGGAGTTACAGCCAGTTATTAATCTTAGTGCACTGTGATAGACAACATCCCAGATTGGCCTGATTAGCATCCAAGACGACAGAGACTGATGACAACTACAACTTTTTAACCATTGGAGTCAACTTGATTTAACATGGCTGCTGCAGCTAATTAACATGGACACAAATATGGCTAAAACTCAGTAAATATTTTGCAAATATTGAGTTAAATGTTAGTGTGGTAGTAGCTGAGAGTCATTCACAACACATAATCTCAGCTTTACAGATCTCACAACATGATAGCATGCACAGCGGCAGAAGATATGCATTCCTACATGGAATTATACTTTATTCATTAGATGATAAATTATGCACCGTTTGCTTGGCATTGCAAGTATATTGGATTTTGTAAAGTACTTTAAATTTATTGTTCATATGTTCTAAGCTTTGTAAAGAATATCTCTTCATGTGCTTTTTTTGGTCGCTTCTTTTTTGTCATTCTCAATTGACATTGTTTCATGTTAACAATAACCATTTTCAGTAATCAGAAAGAAGCAGAATTTCCTTGGTTTCAACAACCTGCGCGTGACAAGACATTTGGACCTAACCACCCCTCCTCCTCCCCCACCTCTGACATGTGAACGTAGGACTTGGGTAGTGTAGGGATCGTGAGTGCCTACGTGCGAAAGTGATATTCTCTTATGCTGCTCCTGGAGGCATATGGAGGCTGTTGCATTTATTATCTTGCAAATAGAGACTTTGCATTACCCAAGACCACTAAAACCACATAAGTGGAGATACAGAGGTTGAGTGTATCTGTTTCTGGAGGTCAAACCTTATCCACCGGCGTGACACTGAAAAGTCCCAACTCTTGGATCAACTTTTAGACTACCTTGTGTGTGTGTGTGTGTGTGTGTGTGTGTGTGTGTGTGTGTGTGTGTTTGCACCCTGATCATATGTGGGGGTCTGCTTCTCTCACGCCCCCTTATCTGGCCAATCGGAGGCCTCATGTGAGACAATGTCATCGAAACAAGCTGGTGGAACCTCCCCGCCACAACAATTCCCACATAAGAACAGATTTCCTCAGACACAGGACTAATGCTACACACATGCGCGCCCGCGCACACACAGACTGCCTGACCAGGTCTGCCTGGTGTTACAATGATTGCTTAACGCTTGGTTTTGTTCACTTTGTGTATTTAGGTCACTGAACAGTTTGAACTCACGCAGGTACATTTGGGAAATAGGAGTTCATTGAAGTTGATGCCAATTTTATACTGAATATCTAAATAAATATATTGTGTGCCGATTTATTTTTAAGCTCTTCCTGAGTTTTGTGTTTCAACACCAAAATGATTTAAATACACAGACAAAAACAATGCTTTGTTCATGAAAGAATACACACACATATAATATTCAAATTCAAATTCAAATTCAAATTCAAAAATACTTTATTAATCCCAGAGGGAAATTATTTTGTTGTTGTATCTCATTATCCTCATTTCATTAAGAGATGTTATAGATGCTGATGGCTGTAGACAGGAAGGATCTCTTGTAAAGGTCCATCCCACAGTGGATCCTAAGAAACTGGCTGCAGATGCTGTCCAATCCGTCCACCCAGACTCGGCTGGCCTCTCGGTTCCCCCGGGTTGCAGTACTGCCCGAATGTCGGGCAGAACTCCTCCCAGAGCGATGGCCACTCCTCCCAGCAGTCTGCCAAGCTCCTCGTCGCTGTGGACAGCCAACTGTAGGTGCTGAGGGACGATCCAGTCCTTCCGCTGTCCTGAGCCGTGTTTCCTGCTGCTAGTTCCAGGATATCAGTGGTCAGGCACTTGATATTATTTGAGCTTTTGAGATGTTAATCAGCTGCTGTTGGTTGTCGAAAAATGCCTTGTTGCCATGGTTACGCATCATAACAAATGTCCAAAACTGAAAAAGTTTCAGTAAAAATCCTTCGAGCTGCACAGCATCCAATACCAGAGGAAACAATCATCCAAAAAATGTGATTTACATCCAGAAAAAGAGGAATTAAAGTTTCCAAAAGCTAAATTTCGGAATGAAAGTAAGAGCTGCTCCAACATGCAGCCACCTTGAGCGGCGCAATTCTAGAACTATATACATGTATATACATGAAGTATATACATGTATATACTGTATATGTATCAGATCAGATTATGCTGACCTTAAATCAAGTACAGATACACTGAAGTTGACAATTTTTGCACATTTTTACTCTGCAAATTATGCACAAATTACAACCAGATTTATTCTGTATAAATACTGAAGATATTTTTATTGCAACAATAAGTCTTCATACTGATATGAAAACTATGAGGTGTGTAGAAGTGTTAGAAGTGATGCAGATGATGATGCAAATGATGCAGCAAGTGAAGGTTGACTCTCATTCTTCAGTTTCTTCCAGTTATGTTAGGTGTACCCCAAGGCTCAATTCTTGGTCCAACTCTTTTCTCCATATTTATAAATATCTCACATTCTGTTATTCTCTATTCGTTTATATGCTGATGACACTAGTTTATATGCTTTTGATTCTACTCCAGATGAGGTTGTGAAGTCCTTTGCATGTGGTTTTCTTGAAATCCAGCAGGCCTTTATTGATTTAAATTTGTCTTTAAAAACCAAGGAAACTAAAATTATGTGGTTTGGTCATGGAGGAGAAACCGTACCCACCTCGGTGGACTTCAGAACTGTAAATGGAGATATTATAGAAGAGGTAACAGTTTATAAATATTTGGAAATTTGGATTGATGGATTTGATTTTGGAATTGATTTGACCTTGACAATGAACTTCTGTTAAAGTAATTTGAGTTTTCTTTGCTTGTTATGATAATGACTTCTATATTTCATAGTTTTGCCTAACAGCATTGTTTCCCTTCTCTTGACCTTACAAGTGCCTGTTGTTGCTGCCAGGCCAGCACTATAAATAAGAATTGGTTCTTCGTGTTTCTGCCTGGTTAAATAAAGGTGAATTGAAAATGAAAATTAAAGTATTGACAAATAAAAACATAAAAACTATATTTTAGTGTAGAGTTGAGTCATGTGAAAGAAAAGTGATGGCACAACTTCAAAATATGACTCGTTTAAAGATGATTGCATCTTCAGAAACTTTAGTTTTAAAGGAGTAGTAAGATTTGTCACAAACAAATGAACAAATCTCACAGTTGGACATTTCACACTTACTGTCTGCTTGGCCCTCCTATGGATTTCTATGGAGGAATGTAAAACTGGTCCGGATTTACTACTTCATCTGCTCTTATCTAGTCTAACAAAACGTATTATGATTGTCTTCTAACAGTAGCACTATTTCCACCAGGACCCCGTTTGGCAGTCGTTGTTATCCTCGATCCATCCCATATGGTGTCGCTTAGATTAACTTGCATATTAGTTTTGGCAAAAGTGTCTAACGTTGGATGCTCTTCCTGACACAACCCCTACCATTTACCCAGGCTTGGGACCTGAACAAGAGATACACTGGCTTGTGCTCTCTTGTGGCTGGTTTCCTCGCCCATATCAAACTTATTTTGTTGTTTTCAGTGAACATTCCTGCATAAATGGGTCATTATGAACCAGCTGGATCTACAACCAAATCCAGAATAGTGCCAATATGTTATTTTATTATATGTTTATAATATTTACATTATGGTGTTGTATTTAAATCTAGAAAATCTCATAAAGGTTGCCTCGCACAGGCAACCAGCAATTTGCTCTTGTAGCCTCATAGTTTTTGTCACATCGTCCTCATTGTTTTCAACTCTTACGCATGCAGTTTTAGTTTGTGATCACATCAAAAACAAAAGCATGCAAAAAAGTTGTATCAATGTTGTCATAATATGAAAACTTATCTCAATTGTGCAGTTTTTAAGGGCTAAGCCCACAGTCCTGGATCACTTTCAGAAATGTGAAACTGCATATGTGTTAAAGATACAGCTCACATGTGTGACTGCTGCTGTTATCCAAAGAAAGCTTTTGTGTGAAATCATACTTCAGGCACTTCAGTGTTTTCATAGATCTCCACAGGGTAGAAAAAAGGACAACACAAGGATTCCTAAAGTTATTTTTTTCTCTCCTCACAAGGAAACTGAAACAAACTTTTCACTCCATCAGTTTTATGAAAAACCATGAAGTGTGTTTTGTGTTACTTCTGTGACTCGCCTGCTTTGCCTTCCCAGGCGAGGCCCAGCACTCCACTGTAGTCCCTGTTGGTGAGCACATAAGACAGGCAGAAGTTGCCCCAGTTGTTCTCAGAGAACAGACTCAACAACTTCTCCGGCCCAATGAACAGAGGAGACAGAGGGTCCGTTTTATCCTCTTTGGTCATCACCTGCACAGCAAACAAAGTTCTTTAACTCACCTTATAGACAAAAACAAATAATTCATCACTGCTACAAAATTCTGCTGAAGCTGCCTTTAAAAGATTTAAAAACAATTCCGCATTCACAAGCTCATGAAGCTTATCACCGATCCCCACATGTATATGATTTAAAATTGCATGTGAAAAACAGGAGTACTGCTAATTTTTGACAGTTCTGTTAATTGTGTACACAAGGATCTTACACGAAGGGATTTCACTTTGAAGTTGATCAGCTTGATTCCATTAAAGTCAACCTTGTTGTAGATATCGTTCACAGCCCGCAGGTAGGACGCAACCTGAGAAAGAAAAAAAAAACAGCCACCGGATCAGTTATAAACAGTCTATATTTGATCTTTTAAATTAAATGGGATCCGCAGGAAGCATCTTTTTAGGGGGACATTAGGCATGCATGCTTCCTGAACATCCACTTAACTTTGTTTAAATTGCACTTTCTTTAAAGCAAATTTAATGACAGTGTTTTGTTCATAACACGTGCAGATCAGTCACATGCAGAGGTCTGATTCCTGACAACAGGAGATGAAGGAACGGAGAAGCCTGCTGGAAAACATCCAGAAAAGTAAAGCGTTGACAATTGTCGACAACAAAATTTTGTTTATTCATACTTCACAATCACATCACTCACCATTTACTCTGCTACCCAGTACAACAACAGCTTGGCTCTGAACCAACAATAACCACAAGTGTGTATGTTTAAGATGGGGAAAAAGTGAGGAAGGCCAGGGGAGGAGATGAGAGGAGAGACAGCAGGAGGAGACTCTAAGATATGGACATAAAGCAGCTGTAGACAAATGGATGTACACATTAGGAGGCTTTTCCTTTGGCACTCAGACGTTTAATAATTAAAGGTCCAGCGTTCCTTAAAGTAATGCATGTCACCTGCAACCTTTCAGTTTCAAATCAAGATCGTTTGAAGCTGAAAAATGACAAAGTTCAGGTTAAATTTGAACAAACTTGTTTCATATGATTTCACATTAGGAACATGAGTGAGAATGATTGTCATGTTTAGCTTCACAGGAGTGTCCAGTCCTGGTCCTCAAAGACCACTGTCCTGCATGTTTTACTCGTTTTCCTGCTCCAACACACCTGATTCAATGGTTGAATTACCTCTTGTGTTGGGGTAGAGAAATGTAGGGTTGTGGCCCTCAGGGACCAGGATTGGGCACCTCAGCTTTAGCATTAAAACCATTTTGTGTTAGGTAGAGTTGATTGATTGTGTTAGGCTCCTTGAATTCAGTTATTTCCAAAAGTTGTTATGCATTTCCGATAATTTTATTAGAATCCATCCAGTGGTTCATGCGAAACATTGCCAACACACACACAGACGCAGACTAAAACATTTAAAAACATAAAAACAAGCAAATATGTGAGGAAGAAGAAAAGCTAAGAAAACAGGAAAATGTATTGACTTAAAACAGATAAAAATGAAAATCTTAGCATTAAATATGTGACAAACAACAAACCTTTTTATTAGAATGAGTAAAAAAATCTAAATAATAAACTTTACTGAAACCTCACATCTTATATGTCTTATATGTTTAATATCTTTAACCAAAATCAGTTAATATATAATATTAACAAAATGATGTAAATATAATGCCATGTATTATTATGCATCATAAGACTGTAGTTCAGCAAAAATGCAAATTGTTCAAAAATGCACAATTTATTCACTTTATATATCAGAGTAAAAATTGCTTGTGCAATTTTTTTTCTTTTACTTTCTAGTTTTTATCCTAAAGTTTAGCTGCTCTAATTAGGTTAAAGAAAATCTCAATTATGAGACAAAAGTATAAAAATAAAATGAAAGGTTGGATTTGTAAGTTACTTCAAACAGATTACCCTAAACAGGATGTTTTCCTATTTTCTCCAGACCAGTCCTGTATTGATCCATCAAACATCTAAACTGGATCTTGTTCTGGGCATTGTGGTTTTACAGTGATTGCGTCATGCTGAAGGTACAGTTTGCAGATGGTGTACAGCAGATGGAACAAACAAGAGTCGAGCTGGTCAACCTTCACTCACTTGGACTTCCACATCTGTTTCAGACAATGTCTGGCTCAGAGTCTCACTTTGGCACATGTCCACATTTCATAAGACATCATGTTCTCGAGATGCTTCTTATTTTGGCCTCGTGATACAACAGCTGTTTATAATGCATCAGGTTCTGTTTGTCACGATCGGTGGATGACTGAACCCAGAATACAGGCAGGCAAAATACCTTTTAATAAACTTGACAAAACAAAATGCGCAGAGCACGAGGAGACAAAAGGATTCAGATTCAGATAGGAGGTTCTAGAACAGAGGTGGGCAACATATTTTTCCGAAGGACCACATCACAATGTTTAAAACAATCAAAGGGCCACATAGAAAATTGGAAAATACATTTTCTTTACGACAGATAATCTAGAAGACCTCTTTCTTATTGTAGCATAGTTAGCGGGCTTTCTAAAACAAGTCTTTCCACAATCTATGTTCTATACATGTTCTAGAATTGCGCCGCTCAAGGTGGTTGCATGATGGAGCAGCTCTGTTACTTTCATTTTGAGATTTTGCTTTTGGAAACTTTAATTTCTCTTTTTCTGGATGTAAATCAAATTTTTTGGATGATGGTTTCCTCTGGTATCAGATGCTGTGTAGCTGGAAGGATTTTTACTGAAACTTTTTTAGTTTTGGACATTTGTTATGATGCGTAACCATGGCAACAAGGCAGTTTTCTACAATCAACAGCAGCTGATTAACATCTCAAAAGCTCAAATAATATCTCAGCTACAGCCCCAAATCTCAAATGAGTTGAAAAGGATGTTCTGTGGATGCATTCTCATCTACCTGCCAGCTGTGGTCAAGTGCCTGACCACTGAGATCCTGGAACTAGCAGGAAACACGGCTCATGACAGCGGAAGGACAGGATCGTCCCTCGGCACCTACAGTTGGCTGTCTGCAGTGATGAGGAGCTCGGCAGACTGCTAGGAGGAGTGGTCATCGCACTGGGAGGAGTTCTGCCCAGCATTCGGGTGATCCTACAGCCCCGGAGAACCGAGAGGCCAGCCGAGTCTGGGTGGATGGATCGGACGGCATCTGCAGCTTCTTAGCATCTGCAGTTTCTTAGGATCCACTGTGGGATGAACCTTTACAAAAGATCCTTCCTGTTTACAGCCATCAGTATCTATAATATCTCTTAATGAAATGAGGATAACGAGTTACAACAACAAATAATTTCCCTTTTTGGATTAATAAAGTATTTTTGAATTGAATTGAATCTTGAAGAAGTATAAGACATATTCTGTAAATTGGCCTTGTGACAATATACTACATGTTAGCTTAACATGTTATACATGTTAGCAGAAATATGCAAAACAAACTTTTATGTTTGTGTTTCTTAGTCGTTAAGGTTCAGTATAATTCTGGAAACACAGTGACTTAAAATTGTTTTACTTTTTTTTGTGAGTAAAATGTTTATTCTAAATTTCCTTAAGTCCTGTTGATGAATTGCTGCTTTTTGTATGAATCTTTATTTAAAAAGTTGTGTTTTTTTAAATCTAACAATATTGGGGGCCGGATGGAGATTATTGATAGGCCACCTTTGGCCCTCGGGCCTTAAGTTGCCCATGTCTGCTCTAAAAGGTATGAACAAATACTTGATGCTGCACTGAGGGTGAAACTGAAACCACTGGAATTAAGGGACAGGATAGATGAGCATCATTAAAATAAATATAGATTTACAGAGAGAAACCAATAAATACTTGGAACACAGGTAAGTACATTAAATAAGAATTGGAAAAACCTTAATAATGAAACACGAAAGACAATAAACAACTAAAACACAGTTCCTGACAGTTTCCAGCCTCACAGGAGTGAGAAAGCTTGGTTGTCTGTTGATGTTGAATACTTTAATGGTAAATAATGCTGCAAAACTTTCAGAATCTCAGGTTTTTGTTGGGGAAGAACTACAAATTATTAGAAACATATTTGATCTAGAGTCAGATTAGCCTTTTAAAATCTTTTTCAAATTTTGATACACAAGGGAAACAGTCCCACCGGACAGGCCACAGTGGTTTTAACATTAAAGATTGCACCTTTTGTAATTTTATTGTAACAAAGTGTAACTGGAATCCAAGGCACTGGATTCAGAGAGGCATGTAAACAAAGCACACAGGGTTCAACCACAAAGGTTCGATTAGTTTCATCAGAAGGGGTGGAGGACACCGCGTTCTCCCAAGTGCAATGGAAGTTTGTTTAATGGGGACAAAATATTTATAGTTTACTGTCCAACTTTTAGTTCTAGAAGAAGAGGAACATACAGAATGTCTTTCACATCTGGCTGATGTGAGTCTAATGAACCTGCTGCATCTTAAACACTTCATAACTGAGTGAACAAAACACAAGACTTATGATTGTCCATCCGTCCATCTGTCTGTCCATCCATTATTTCTGCTGTTTATTAATGGGCAGGTTGCAGAGACAAGTCCAGAAGGGAAACCCAGACATTCCTTGCTCCTTCTCTTGGGGGTTCCAAATGTGTTCCCAGACTACACAGGGTACGTAATCCTTCAAGTAATTTCTAGATCTGCCTCTGGGTCATCAGGATGTGCATTAAAACATCCAAAGGTCTAATCCGTGCTAGAACCACCACAGCTGACTCCTTTCAATGCAGAGTAGTCTAAAACAAAATACCCATGAAATCTGTGTGTACACAACAAAATTGTGTCTGGGATCTTCTCAGTTTGGCATGATACATCTCATGATTGTATGATTGTAGGTAAGGGTTGGAATGTAGATGAACCAGTAAGTTAAGAGGTTAGCCTGTCCTCTCAGCTCCTTTGTCAATGCAACAGATCGAACCAAAGCCCTCATTACTGCTGACCAGACCCAGGTCCATCAATCCGTCACCTACTCCATCACTCCTGACCAAGACTGAAACTCTAATTCCTTTGCTTGCAGCAAAAACTTTTCCCCAAACGCAGTGGAAGCATTCCACTTTTTCTGTTTTTGTTATCACATACAACTATGAAGTGGTTATGAATCCACCGAGGTGAAAACAGTGAAATCATTTGATGCTTCATGGCTGATAATGAACTAAATAAAAGACTGGTGCATAATAGATACACACACACACACACATATATATATAT